CCCCCCCCATTTTGTATCCCAAGATATGTTCTCTCCCTCTGCAAGTCCGATGCACCACTGTGGTCTTTCTTTCCTTCCTTCTCTCTCTCTTAGCTCCCACATATGAGTGAGTACATGCAGTATTTATCCTTCTGTGCTTTGCTTACAGAGTGGGAGAAAATTTTTGCTAACTCTGCATCTGACAAGGTATTAATATCCATAATATACAGTGAACTCAAAATGTATCTTCTTTACTGCTAATTTTCTTCTTTACTTTCTCTCTTAGTCCCTTTGGGCTGCTATAACAAATTACCCAGTTTAGACTGGGTAATTTATAAACCACAGAAACTTATTTCTCACATTTCTGGAGGCTGGGAAGTCCAGGATCGTGGTGCCGGCAGATTTGGTGTCTGGGCAAAGGTTCATTCCTCATAAATGGAGCCTTTTACGTCTCCTCACATGGTGGAAGTGGCAAACTAGCTCCCTTAGGCCTCTCTCGTAAGGGGACTAGTGGAATTAGTGAGTCCTCATGACCTAATCACCTCCTAAGGGCCTGACCTCTTGATACTGTTGCATCGGGGATTAGGTTTTAACATATGAATTGTGAGAGGACACAACACTCAGACCATAGGATTTTCCTTCGAATTGTAAATCCAGTTACTGAACTTTGTATAAATCCTCAATTTCTTTTATTTAGGAGACTAAAGTTAAGGACCAGTTTTTCCCTCTGTTCTTTTACCTATATGTATCAAAACTTCCAGCTGCAACACCATTAGATATCATGCCTTCTACAACATATCCTAAAGATATTTCAGTAAGTAGGAATCAACAAGTATAAATTATACAGCATTCTACCTAGACCTTAACTGAACACTTAAGGCATTATAAAGAAGCAGAAGCTGAGATGCCTGATTTGAAATGTTCATAATCCTATTGCTCACCTTATGGAATAAGACAATTTATTTATTACTGAGTGCAACATACTAGGCATTTCGCAGTAGGTAAAGATGAATAAAATATAGACCCTGACCTTAGGGGACTCACAATCTAGTTGGACATATAAGACAAACTCAAAAGTAGCTATGAGATGCAGAATATGAAAGTACCACAAGAGGGGCACTAACAAACACTGCACTCTAAGGATTCATAGGAGGGAAACATAATATCATTAGGTAGAAAATATTTTTTTTTAATTTTGTAAACTTATATTAAGTGTTGCCCAGACTGTTACATGGATTCCGAGAATCAGAAGACTAATCTGGTTTGGCATAGTGAAAGAAAACTTAAATGGGGAAGTGTAGAGCTACTACTAAAACGTGGAAAAATGTGGTTAGTTGAGGAAAAGTAGGGATCTTGATGCCAGCAGGAAGAGTGAAGAAAATTTGTTCACCATTGCTGTGATCCCAAATTTCTATTGGAAAAGAAGCTCAAAGGAGGCTTTTCTCCTTTTATAGTAATTTCTGGTATAGGTAAATCTTTACCATGACAGTTGTTATTATTTTATCCTATTGCTTTAACCATTTTTTTCATTTCTTTTCATCTGTGTTAGCTTCTAGATATAAAACTGCACCTGTCATGGCTTTTGTATATTACATTTATTGTATGTTTGTGAATATATTTGTAATTTATTTTTATAAATTATTTTTCTGTGTGACATATTTTTATATCCCCAGTTTAATAATACATGTTCACTATTGACAATTTGGAAGATGTAAAAAAGAAAATTACTATAATCCTTCTACATAGAGATGATAAATACTCTTAGTGTTTGGTTCTTAGTCGTTTTTTCTTTGTATGAGCACACACATATATTTCTATAAAAATGGAATACTGTTTTATATACTGTTTTGTAATTTGCTTTTTAAAAGAATGCAATACAACAAAAATATTTTTGCATGTCTATGATATTTTCAGTGATTGTGGATAGATATGGGACTTTTAACATTTAAAACTGAGGTTGGGCCTCAGATTTTTCTGTGGTCTTTGGCTGGAGTAGTACCATTATTGTCTAAAAGTTTTCTGTCTTGCAAGACTGCCCCTTTCCTGGCCCTTTGGAAAGAGCAAGCTTTTGTTGGGGCTTTTTAGATCTGAGTCCATTGGTGTTTTTAGGTTGTCAGTCTCTCTGGCTCCCAGTCTAGGATATATAAGGCAAAAAGATAACCCAGGTAACAGCCATTTTGGTCTGTTCTTTTGGTCCTAAGGTCCCTAGACAGTCTGCTTTCTTCTTTCCACTTTTCAGAATCATATGTTTGTTTTATATATTATGTCCAAGATTTTTAGTTGTACTCAGGAAATATTTGGAAAAGTTCCTATATTCATTCTGAAAGTGGAAGTCCCAAAGTGTCTAGAGTTTTGAGGCTTTTGATTTATAATGTCAAAGTGCTCTCCCCCCGAAGGTGTACCAACTTACATGTCCATTAGCAGCTTATCAGTAAGCATGTTTGTTTCTCCAGTTACTCAAGAGTACAAGGTATTAGCTTATCAAAACTTTTTTGCCAATTTGAGAGTTGAAAAAATGATATTTTGTTTGATTTGCATCTAATAAATCATGAAGTTGAACATCCTTTCCTGTTTATTGGATATTTATGCTTCTTTCTGTGAATCCCATGTTCATTTCAATTACCTATTGGATTGCTTGTCTTTTTCTTATCCACTTAAAAGAGCAGTATAAATATTAAGGATGTCAACCCTTGGTCTTATGTGTCGCAAGTATATGTCTTAGTTTATTAAGCATTTTTTTAAAAGTATAGACCACAGGGCATTATCATAGGTCTTGGGGATAAGACAGAAAGAGATAAAAGATAAAAAATGTAATTTTTGAATTCACAAAGCTTTCAATGTTCTGGAAAAGAGAAAAACATAAACATAAGTAAATTAAAAGCCAACAAACACAGCAAATCAAGGTAGCATAAACAAAGGATACAAGCAGTGAGTGTTAAATGGGGGACAGATCATTGTGTTCTAAAATAATTTAGGAATGTTTCAAGAAAAATATGGGATATGATCCTGGCCTTAGGAATTATTTGTAAGAAGCTTTATAGTTTCATATTATAATGATGATGTAAGGTATGCTGTTCTGAATAAAATTTTTTTAACTCATTTTATACTGTAAGGGGCAAATATATTTCTGTGTGTGTATATGTCCATATGTACACACATATATGTGCATTTATAGGGACATCAGTGTATAGGAAGCAAATTCCAAAGAGTTTACACAAAAATAGTAGCAGCAGTTGTCATTCCTAAATGGTGGGAATACAGGTAACTTATTTTTTAGGTTTTTCTGTTTGTTTACCTTGATTTCTGGTTCTTCTACAATATGAATTAAAAGCAGACATTTAAGCCACACAGATAAAAGACCATATTAAAGACATTTGACATACTATCCCACATGTGTTACTGTTATAATTTTGATTATGTATAATTGAATCCACAGTTTGTGGTGTTTATTTCCAGGCTGCTATGATACATGAATGTCTCAAGTGGTCATTAAATTTGGCCATTTTTCTTTCTCTTTCATTTTTATCAAATCTTCTTACTTTATTATATTATTTCCTGAAACTTAAAGCACTTTTCCAAATTGCCCTGCAACATACTAATCAGCAACCCATCTTAAGCAAGTCAGCCCTTTCTCACATGGCTCCTTCCTTATTTGTCGTCTGGATTCTGTTCCTGCTTAATTCATTTATTTATGTGTGTATGTATATTCTCCCATCCCAAACATTTTCTTCATGTCAGTTGATTCAGGATTGGGAAGGACAAAGCATACCTCTTGTGTTCTATAGTCATATGTAGCATGAAGTCATTCTGTGATCATCACATTTTCTAAGTAATATAATTATTTTAAACATCCCCTGGACATTTCTCTGGAAGTTTGACATTGTTTAATTGCCAATATGTTCTCTGAGGGAAACACTAATACACATTTCACATCTATGTGTTTGTCTTAGTAGCTTTCTCATATAATTATATTTATTCACAGAATCACTACAAAGAGATCAAAGAATTTCCCTCATATTCTTAAATTCATCAGAGTACAGTGTCGTGTGGCAAGAAATGGTGGAAGAGCATCTTTGCCCTGTCCAAATATAGGAGATCGACTGCTTTTGGATGAAGTGTATTCCTTGGCAACATCTGTTAAAGCAGTTTGTGATGAGGCAAACTTTTTTTTTCCCCCATTGTTTTTACCTGCTTTTTTTTTTTTTTGGTGGCTGGCCAGTACAGGGATATCAAACCCTGGACCTTGTTAGCAGCACCGTGTTCTAACCAACTGAGTTAACCAGCTAGCCTTCAGACTTTTGTCTGATCATTCCCACATTGCACACAGGGACTTTCAGTCAACTGAGTAAGGGGATTCTAAAGTTCGCTATAGGTCTTTAGGCCTGCCTAGAGGAAAACTGAACCAAGGTCATATGGTGATGTTTGTC